CTAGACAGTCGCTTCCCATCTTGTATGTATGGAACTGATTGTTCCTTCTTAAGTGGAGCACTTTGCATTTCTCTTTATTAAACTTCATCCTGTTTACCTCTGACCATTTCTCTAACTTGCTACGGTCATTTTGAATTATGTCCCTATCCTCCAAAGAAGTTGCAACCCCACCCAGTTTGGTATCATCTGCAAACTTAATAAGCGTACTCTCTATCCCAATATCTACATCATTGATGAAGATATTGAACAGTACGGGTCCCAAAACAGACCCTTGCGGAACTCCACTTGTTATCCCTTTCCAGCAGGATTTAGCACCGTTAACAACAACTCTCTGACTACGGTTATCCAGCCAATTATGCACCCACCTTATCGTGGCCCTGGCTCTCAGCGCTAGGTGCTGCACGTAGACGGGCTAACCGCAGTGTCACGAGCCCATCTCAGCGATCGGTTGCAGTGACTGTCAGGGCGTCAGCGGACCCGACTTTTCCTGACATTGTTTACGAGGCACTGAGCATCAGCAATGCCAAGAGCCTTCACTGGGACTCGCAGGGCTCATCGGGGCCCCGATCCTGATTGTCCCCACGCCAGGGATGACGATTCCGTGCAACCGAGGGGAGCCTGGCATGAGCTCCAGCAGGCTCACCATATTCCCAGGGGGCCGGGGAGCAGGGACTGGAGAGTGGGAAATGTTTCTTCTGATGGGAATATGCTGATTCTATGATTTGAAGCTAGATAAAGAAACAAAATTCTGTATCCCTGCTGGGGATGAAACCTGCCGCTGCTTGATTCGCAGACAGCATCATGGGTGGGGGGTACTATAGGTGGGCCGGCTGTGTGGCTGCCCGTCCCATACCCCTCCTGCCCTGTCTCCTCATTGTTTCCTCTTGTCCCCCTGGCATTTCTCTCTCCTCCACCCTGCTATTCCTGCTCATTACCTGACAGGATCTGGCCTAAGGTTCCGGCTTCTTTGCCAAAGTTCACATTGTTCTCCGAGCCTTTGGATTCGCTCAGGAGGAGCTGGTGACTTAAGGAAACAGACCATAGAGGCCTCAACCCCCACTCAGAGCCATAAAACCCAAGATCTGCCCTTCCCATTCAGAGAGAAAGGTGCCGCGTCACATGCAACCAGCAAGGCCCCACCATGGGCAGAATCAGAACAAACAAGTGATAAAAGGCTCATAATCTACTACTGTGGGTACAAACCAAATGCACCACAGGGCTACCGGAGGGGGAAGGAGCAAGCCTGTGCCATGATATGTGACTCCCCGCTTCCTTTCCAGCATCTTCCTTACTCCTCACGTCTCACTCCTGTTTGCAGCCAGCTGGAGTGCAGTGCAGGACTGTCCTCCATTGTCTCAGTTGACAAGTCAAGTGAGGTAAGATCTTGTATTGACCCACCGTGTCTCTCTCATATCCTGGCACTAGCACAGCTGCACCTGCATGGCTGATGTACTTGCCGGGCAGAACTCTGAGGACCGTTCCATCCACCCCCATTCCCTTGCTCTGAAAAGAGCCGCTCGGGCACTCAAGAAGATCTGGGATCCCAGCTCACGCACAGTGCTCTGCCCATCCCATTCGGCGGGAAAGCTGCTGGGTCACAGGCATCCGAGATGGCAGACCTGGTAGGGTTCAGTCTGATATTGCCCCTCTTTGGACGTGTTTCCAGTCCAACGCCTTCCCTCTTCCTTGTTATTGCACCTCAGTTTAGGGTGGGGATGTTTAAATAGGGAGAGACATTTTATTGTTTAGAACAATATTTAAGTTGCAGAAAATCAACATTTAGTACATAATTGCCCAAGAGATAGGTGAAATCCACTCCTGTAACTTTGCCTTCCTTGTTCTGTTTTATGTCACCTGCTATTCCTTGTGCTCCAGCCAGAGTACTTGATTTGGGAATTTGGCAGGATAGAAGGCAGACGTGAGTCGCTTTGGGTATGTCTACACTATGGCACTAATTTGAACTAACTTAATTCGAATTTGTTAATTCGAACTAAGCTAATTCGAATTAGTGCATCTAGACCTAAAAACTAGTTCAAATTAGCATTTTGCTAATTCGAACTAGCATGTCCACATTGAGTGGACCCTGAACCGGGGTTAAGGATGGCCGGAAGCAGTGCCGGCAGGGCATCAGATTAGGACTTAGAGTGTGGAGCTGCTGTCTCAGGCTAGCCGAGGGATGTGCTTAAAGGGACCCAACCCCCACCCTGGACAGACAGTTCTCAGGGTTCCCCGCTTGCAAAGCAGCCCTGGCTTGGAGTGCCCTGAGTGCCCACACTGGGCACATCACAGCACTCGGCCATCAGCCCGGTTGCACTTGCTGCAGGCTGCCATCCAGGGGGGGAATCAATCGGGGGGCTGCAGGAGAACTTCCACCCTGAGGAGCCTGCAGAGCCACCCCAGTCCTCCCCGTTGGGGGCTTGTACCCCATTCCTCCCTCACCCCCTTCCACTTACCCCTCCCTAGCCCCCCCCCTCCTGATGTACAAAATAAAGGACACGTGTGTTCAAAAATAGAAGATCTCTTTATTGAACAAAACTCGGGGAGACTGGGAAAAGGAGGTGGGAGAGGGGAAGAGAGAGGGTGGGAGAGGGGAGGGCAACTAAAATGATCAGGGGTTTGGAACAGGTCCCATATGAAGAGAGGCTAAAGAGACTGGGACTTTTCAGCTTAGACAAGAGGAGACTGAGGGGGGATATGATAGAGGTCTATAAAAGCATGAGTGGTGTGGAGAGGGTGCATAAAGAACAGTTCTTCATTAGTTCCCATAATAGGAGGACGAGAGGACACCAAAGGAAAGGAATGGGTAGCAGGGTTCAAACTAATAACAGAAAGTTCTTCTTCACAAAGCAAATAGTCAACCTGTGGAACTCCTTGCTGCAGGAGGCTGTGAAGGCTACAACTAGAACAGAGTTTAAAGAGAAGTTAGA